AGGGAAAGACATTACACCATCTATGATAAGGGGTGAAATTTTAAACCATCCCCAAAGGTGAAACTTTTCCTCCCTTTGGGTAACCAAATGGGTTGAAAGCTGGCGAGTTTTTCCTTTCATTCCCAAACAAAAACAGCCTAATCTTCACATCTTACTAAGTCCAGCTCCCTCAGGAACAATCAACATCAATGCATAATTTCAAGGAGGGGACCAGGGGATCTTAGATTTGAATCTGTTGCATGTTACTAGGCCCAGGTCCTGCCGAAACCTGCTCAGATTTTCACCAATAAAATCTGCTGCATATTCATGCGGTTTGGTAAAGCCTCCGTAGCCATTACAATTTTCACATAGTTTACGTTGCAGTTATGGATTAAGTTGATTCCCTCTTTGATTTTATAAAAGTTGTGACATCCATCCAATCACCTGCAAGGCTGCGAATTGGACGTAGGTCAACAAGCTCTAGCTACCATCCTTAGAGCTGCAAGTTGGTTAACATAAAAGAACCAACACAATAATGATTGCGCTGCATTTTATTCTCATTCTTCATATTTAATTTACTTTCTCAGCTTTATCATGTTATGGTGGAATTTTTTTTATTGTAAATAATTTGTAATTGATGCTAAAAAATGTGAAATTTTACAGATAAGAACGAAGATGGTTGCACCTGGTGGGGAAGTTTTGGGTGGTGTAATTGGCACTTTCCACCACATGATCCAGACAGAAGGTTTCTTTTCTCTTTATAAGGGTTTACTACCCTCGTTAGTGGCAATGGCTCCTTCAGGTGCTGTTTACTATGGTGTTTATGATATGCTAAAATCAGCTTATCTTCACTCACCGGAAGGAATGAAGAGAATTCAGAACATCAAACAAGAAGGTCAGGAATTGAATGCATTGGAACAGCTGGAGTTGGGTACCATGAGAACATTGCTTTATGGGGCAATTGCTGGTTGTTGCTCTGAAGCTGCTACATATCCATTTGAAGTTGTGCGGAGACAGCTTCAAATGCAAGTCCGAGCAACAAAGATGAGTGCATTGGCAACTTGCATAAAGATAGTTGAGCAAGGAGGAATTCCTGCTCTTTATGCAGGTTTAATTCCCAGCTTATTGCAGGTATGGCGATGCATAACTTCTGTGTACATGAACTGTTCCTTTATTTTATGAAGTTTCTAGCTTTAGATGATGGTCCAGAGAGTTTGCGGCTGAGAGCTGTTTTCAAACCATAAAGCAGTTGTCGCTTATCTTTCTTATCAAGCCTGAAAACTGCTTTGTTTTGACTGGTTGTGGTTCTGCCCCACCATTTTTTGTACTGCATAGCTCATCGAATTAGACCTTAATATAATACCTCTAGGAGAAGGCACCATGTTTTGTACTGCATAGCTCATCGAATTAGACCTTAATATAATACCTCTAGGTGAAGGCACCATGTTTTGTACTGCATAGCTCCTCGAATTAGACCTTAATATTGCTCCTGTAGGTCAAGGCACCATGTTTTGTCATGCCTCGAATTAGACCTTAATATAATACCTCTAGGTGAAGGCACCATCTTTATTGTTCAAGTCATATACAAGAGCCATGATGTTTTCTACTGTAATCTCAACAATTAAATCATCTTCAAGGGCCATTGAAGGGAAAGTTACTGAATAATGGTAGAAAATAGCAAGTCTGTTTGGTATTTGCCTCTATTACAATCCCACTTTCACAACCATGTACCTTAAGAACTCCTGACTTGTCCAATCGTACATCATTTCATGTTGTCTTCTTAGGAGGGGAAGGGTATTTTGATTACTGTCAACTGCTTTCTAGCCCCACCTTTCTGGCTACTATTCAAAGGTTCTTTTCTGTTTCAAATTCCTAATATGTCCATGAACAAAACAGTTTTTAAACAATGAGAAATCAAAATCTAGGATACGTCGTTTTGTCAAGATATTTTGTTTGGATTTGGCGCCTTTAGTTGCCGGAACTAGCTGTTGCGACTTATTTTTTCCAATATTAAAAATTTGAAAAAAGTTGAAATAAATCCCACTTAATTAGCTTAAGCTTGAAACGTTGATGAAATATTCTCATATGAAATTGATCTGGGACCTGCTACTTGTTCACATCTTTATTACATTCCTGGCTCTTTGGAGCTCTCCATAATTCATATCGATATCCTTTTGTTCTCAACCCTATCCAACCCATGTTTTTTTTACCCGAACCTGCAGGTTTTACCATCAGCTGCAATAAGTTACTTTGTATACGAGTTCATGAAGATAGTGCTCAAAGTCGAGTCAACATAGACAAAGCCTTGGAGGGGGCTGATGTTTCTGAAGTTCATGGTGTCTCAAGTGGTGTTTTCTGGGACCCTTTGGACGATTCTAATATACCGTGTGTACTGTTTTTTCCAACAGAACTGAGGGAAAATAACCCTCCATTGGTTTCCAGCCTTTCCCTGGCATTTTTATAAGGAGAAGTGAAAGGAAAAATCTGAGTTTAGTATAAAAGAAAATGGGAGAGAAAAGGGCATTGAATGCACATTTACTTGCAAGTTAAAAGCTCTGTCCATGTTGCATAGGAAATAGAAATCAATCTTGTAATTGTTGCTGACTTTTCATGGATTGTCAATTGCAATCACCGGAATCGAAAGTTGAAACCCTCTGTTGAGAAGTAGAGAGTTGAACGCATTTCAGTTGACTTTTGAAATAAAGAAAACTTATCCAATCTGACAATTGTATATTGAAAATTGTATTCAATCAATATCAAGATATTTTATATATTATAAAATAAAACTTGAAGATATTTTATAATATAAAATAAAATATGATGATGTGTATATGATTATATTTATTGAATTTATTTATTTAAATAAAAAAAAAAATTTATATCCTAAAATATGCATGATTTAAAATATAAACATAAATGAAATTGACTGAAAAAATTTATGTTATAAAAAATATTATAATAGGCTGAATACATTAACAATATAATTTATAATTAAATATTTTTATTTTAAAAAATAATTTTTATTTGTATATAAATAAATTATAAATAAATTAGAATAATATCTTGAAATAAAATAAAAACAAAACAACTAAAAAATATTTATATTAAAAAAACATGTAATAATCTAAATCATAATACTGGGATAAATTCAAAGAAAAAACTTGAAAATAATCATGAAATTAATATTAAAAAAAATAATATAAAACAATCAAATTATAATTTTTGACAAATTAAATGTTGGAAAATGAAATTATTAAAAAATAAGTACAAAATAAAAAAGGAAAACTTATAAAAAAATTTGACTAAATTGAAAAAAATAAAAAAATTTATAAATGAAAATAAAATTAAATTAAAGGCTTAACTTTTTTGGATCAAATAACACAGATAAATTTACTATAATCTAAAATATATTTTACTGTATATTAAGCTACAATAAAACACCCATATTATTTAGTTTTTTAAGTAATATTCTCACAGGCATGTTTGGTAGCGTAAATTACTTTTCAAAGTTAATATTCAACACTAGCAACATGGGGAATTTTTTTTTTTTGAAAAACAAAAAAAAAGTATTAATAACTGCAATTTCCCACCACTGTCTCCCCATTATATGTTCATTTCTTGCTGCTAAAAAGGGGCAAAGGACAGCTGCACAGTGAAAGAGTGAAAAGGTTGGTGAAAATAAGCTACTACTAAAAATGAATAGGGAGGTGGTAATCTTAATTTAGCCCCTAATGTATTATTTCATTAACAATTGAGTTTCAATTTGATTTTTCTAATTTTACTCTCCACGTAATTAAAATTACATAGATAATATTTAAAATTATAATAGTAATTTTTTAAAAATATATTATTATTTTTTATATCATCACATTAAAACAATTAAAAAGCATTTTTTGAAGCATTTAATCTCTTAATTATCACTAAAAGATGGTTGATATTATCTAATGTTGATTTGCTTGGAGTGAAATTGATATTAGGCAATATATCAATAGCTAAATTGAGTATTTTTAAAAAAAATTTAAAAACAATCACAGAATCTATGAGAAAATAATATGGTGTTCAAACATTAATTAACGATATCATATTATTTATTTCATTGACCCATCTTAGAAAAATAAAAAAATAAAACTCATAATTCTTAACAGCTGAAAAAATAATTAATATAATATTATTAGTTATTTTGTATATAATATAAATTTATCAAGGTTTTTCCATACCAATAGAAAAATATTATCAAGATAATTAGGCGAGGCTAATTATTCTGACACGCAATGATTGATTATATCAAAATTTTAGGGCATTTTTTTCTTGTTCGTACACAATCTCCATCGTACTTTCCAACTATTTGACTTTTCTTTTTTCCTGTAAGGATTTAGCTAGTTTTTAGACAGGTCGGTCTGTCGATGTGTTCATCTTACTCAATGCTCACCATTGGTGTTGTGGACATTATTTGCAGCTGGGCGTCTTAAGTATCATATATATATATATATTATAACTTTAATTAAATAAAATAAAAATATGATTTGACTAGGTTAGATGACAGTATAAATCTAATGGATTCGGTTGAGATTATCATCCCTGTTCTTCATGGGGAAATTTGTTAATTTAAAAAAGAAAAATAAAAAGATAATAGGTTAGATGGCAGTATAAATCTAATGGATTCGGTTGATATTATCATCCCTGTTCTTCATGGGGAAATTTGTTAATTTAAAAAAGAAAAATAAAAAGATAATGGAAATGCGGTTATAAATGTTGTTTTGTGTATGTTCAATAAGATATTTTAAAAATATTTTCTATTTAGATTTTTTTAATTTTTAATGTTCATATATTAAAATTATTAAAACTTTTAATTTGATTTTTTTTTTAACAAATAAACACTTTTTTAAAAACCATGGGAGAGCTACTTCTTATTTCACACATGGATTAAGATTAAAAAAAAAAGAAAAAGAAAAAGAAAAAGAAAGAAGAAGCAGCACCATCGCGGAAATCACGTCAAAGGTAGACTCGACATCACTCAGTACTCTCCTCTTCCTCCTCTTGCCCAAAGTCCATCTTAGCTGCTGCTACCCAAATACCTTCTCTCACCCTATGTCCGTACCCCCTTTCAGCTTGATTTTCTGTCTTGTTCCCTTCAGATGCTTTCCTTTAGATTTCTCCTCTGAGTGTCAGATCAAAACACAGAGCTTCGTATTTACAGTTCTTAATTATTTATTTTGCAGCACAGTAATTAACGTCTCTTTTCAAGATTTGACATCGCATAAACAGAGGCAGAGATAGAGACTAAAAAGGAGGAAGAAGAGGGCAGGTGGAGGATTTGATCAATCATGGCTGACACTAGACGGTACCCTCTTGGTAACCAGCTAGGTAAGAGAGTTTCAACTTCTTCTTTTTTTATTTATCTTTTTTTTCCCTCACTTTGATTTTGGACTATTCGTTTTGTACAGTGTATTATAAAACTGTGATTTTTGGAATTTATGCTGTTGAAGGTTTTCATTTTTGTTTTTGATGGCTGGCTTGTATATATTTTAGAAGAGGAAGATGTTAGCAGGACTGAGGTTCTGATCTGGGCTTAAAGTTTGGGTTTTTATTTGTGGGTTTTACTTGTAGAACAAAGGGACAACTTTTTAAGCCTTACCACTTACTTACCAGTGCAACAGTTCATTGAAGATAATTTATCTACTAAACCTAGCGATAATCTTGGTGTTCTTTTTGGGAGGGTCTGAGCTTTTGAAGAGGATTTTTGCTCAAGATGTTATCATTAATTGATAACTGGATTTCAAAACAACGATAACGCTGGATTAAGATTTATGTTTTATTGTTAAGGGGATAGATTTCCATGCTATACCAGTCCCCAATTTCTTCTCTTATACAGTGTTGAAGGTGGTTTAGAAATGGTGGCATTAACTATCATGCTTTATATTCTCCTCGTCTTTGTTTGTTTTTACACTTGATGTTGTGAAGTTACCGATGATATGCATTTAAAAAAAAAAAAATTGTCATCCCCTGGAATGCAGATATTCAGCAAATACTGGTAGAAGCGCAGCATCGATGGCTACGACCTGCTGAAATTTGTGAAATTCTTAGCAATTATCAGAGATTTCGTATTGCCCCAGAACCTGCACATATGCCTCCAAGTAATATTTTTTCAGCATTGCTTTCGTTGATTAATTGTTCAATGAACCTTTCCCTATAGTTGCCTTTCATAAACTTCCAAGTGGATAATAAGATATCTTTTTTGTTTTTAGCTAGTTCATTCTAGTTATTTTCTTCTCTTTCATGAGAATCTACTATGAAATTTGTTTTGCATCTGATCCATGTGGCAAGATTCCTTAAAACTCCTAACTGCTTTTTGAGTCAAGGTTAATGTTTTGCAATATTGCAAACTTACCTCTCGTGGACAGCCCGAGGATCATGGTGTCAAGTGTGGGTGAGAGACCATAGAATTTGCATATCTTTGACAGATTCATTTCAATAATTTTATGTTTCTAAGATTCAAATGATTTTCAGATCATTAATCAGGTGTTCACCTGTTTTTCTTTTGTGTTTGAACCTTTCTGTCGGGTTTCAAATTGGACATCATTCTCATAAGTCTACAGCAGCTGAAGCATAAAATTGCAATCGCATTTGGTTTTGATTTTTTTTTTTTGTCTTGTCATTTTATTCAACTTTAAAGGAAATGACAGAACTTCTTGTTTAAGCTCAATTATCCAAAAAATGTTATTTTTTTCCAACTCCAGTCACTTATCAAATACAATTGTATTTGTTTGAATTCCAAGTTTCAGTGTTTTCTTTTATCTAGGGAAAGGCTCCTGCATTAGGACTCCTCCCCATTTCTTGTCTGATTACTAATGGGGCTAGAAGTTGCATTTTAGGTTAGGAGAAGCTCATAGATGGCAATATAATGTGCAGGATGAGTGCTTCTATCTTATTATAGTGTTTGTGCACATCAAGTGCTTTATCTTCTCCACTACGGGCGCATAGGCCTCTATTTGATTAAGTTCCTATTATCAAGTTACAATTGTAAACATATCTTGGCTCCAATTTCAGGTGGTTCACTGTTCCTCTTTGATCGCAAAGTGCTCAGATACTTCAGAAAAGATGGCCATAACTGGAGGAAGAAAAAAGATGGGAAAACTGTGAAAGAAGCTCATGAGAGGCTCAAGGTAAGCATATTAGGGTATTTGAATCAGGCATCTTTGAGCCAGTGCCTCTGTCTTCTAGCTAATGTATTTTACTCCGCTGCAGAGGCATTGTTTATATTTAAGATTTGTGTGCTCTTTCAAATCATAGTAACTGAAAAAAAAAAGTGTATGCTCTTTCAGTCTGGAAGTGTTGATGTGCTGCATTGCTATTATGCACATGGAGAAGATAATGAAAATTTTCAAAGACGCAGTTATTGGTTGCTTGAAGAGTGAGTCCTTGAATCTTTTCATTTTTTATCTTCCAATATCTTAGTTTTGGATCTAAATACTTGCATTTCAAACCATTCGTCCAGCCTCATACGTACCATGGTTTATTAAGTGGCATAACTTGCAATATTTAAGAAGATTGGATTGGTTCTAACCTGTTGATATATGTGTATTTCACATTGAATTAATAGCTTTTATTTCATTTTATTTTATGAACGTCTGATTTTGTGATTGTTTCACGTTCTACTTTTGGGTTTCAATTAATTAGAGGCATAAAAACCAAGGCTTCAAGCTCTTTGTGTAACTGAGGAAATCATTGACCTACATGAGTTCCATGGTAATGAATTCCTTCAACCGTTTTTTTTTGGGTCTGTTTTTCAAAAATTATAGGCATGGTCACAACCCTTCTGAAAACCCTTGGATTATGTCTGTTAGCACACATATACAGCACAATTATTGCTTTGACTCTTAAAATCTTTTTATGCGTGTTCCATTTCATGTGAAGTATTATATTAGCTAAAGAAATCGGCAGTTTTGGCCATTGCCTGCTCCTCGTAGCTGATATTGTTGGTTTAAAATGCCTTCTTGAAATAACATCTGGTTTCTTTCTTCTATATTTCATTTTTTAGACAGATGACCATCTTCTGTTTCTTACGTAGCTGTCCTCTACTGCAGGGAACTTTCACACATTGTACTTGTCCACTATCGGGAAGTAAAGGTGACATTTTCTCCACTGCTCCTATCTTTTATGCTCCTTTTAGCTATCTTAGTCTGTCACTCTGTGTTCCAAAAAGTTCAGCTTCGTTGGATAACTTGAAAGACGAGTCTACTTTTTTCTGCCTTTATTCTTTCTCAAATATTTATTTGGCTGTGCTGAGAACAATAGAATCCAATAGCTTTTTTTCTTCCGTGGGTTAGTCTCTGTATTTTCCAAATAATAATTTCACTATACCAGTACTTGGAACCCCTCCCACACCAGGCAAAAAAAAAAAAAAAAAAAAGGATTGAAAACATTAAGGGAAAAAGGAAACAACTCGGTCTCCAAAATTTTGAATGTGGAGATGTATTAAATAATAGTTCACGTGTTGTCCACACCTCTAAGGCTCTAACATATGAAAATTTTTAAGTTAGGAATAGGAATCTAATGATGAGTAGTGCACATGAATGGGTTGTGATGGGATTTGATCCTTTTGGTGAAAATGATGCCTTGATCATTGGATTGTGACTGTCATTTGATTAAATTGGTATGCTGTGATTTTTTTGTCATATTGTAGAATTTAACAAAGCATGGATGTCTTTTGTCAACACAATGAAAATAGAAGTTATTTATCTGAGGATTAAACCCATCATGTATCTTTGGTACAAAAGCTATTAGATGAATGCTGCACATGCAAAACTATAAATCTATGTTTAGGGTGTATTTGGGAGTGTGGTCGAACCTCACTTTTAAAAATTTTGAATTTTTTTGCTTCAAATTAATGTTTTTTGGTATTTTTGGATTGTTTTGAAGCGCTGATGTCAAAAGTAAATTTAAAAAAATAAAAAAATTATTTTAATGCATTTCCAAGTGAAAATCATTTTGAAAAATAACCTCTACCACACTTCCAAACAGACCCTTAGACTAGAGCCATAAAGCAGTTGTGAAAAGAGATGATTTATGTGTGCATTTGTGAACCAGAATAAGTGGCAGTAATTGGATAAGATCAACAAAAAAATTATCATGTATTTTTTATACAATGAAAATGATGACACATGTAACACTTCTGCAGGTGGAATCTAAACCTGAAATTTATCTGCTTTTGCCTTGTATGAATGCGACTAGATATGTGTTTTAGACTTTAGAGCAGGACTATAAAAGGAGTTTATTTAATAAGATACCTTCAGCATGGGATTGAAGTTTTTGTCTCAAATGGATTAAAATACTGTTGAATTTCAGGCTGAAAATTGCTCATGAGAATCTATCTGGCTGCTTAAAATCACGATTCAGTGATTATATTCATGTTATTTAGTTTTTTGTTACTCTAACCTAAGATGGCTATCATGAATGGAGTATCTCTTATTCTAGAAGAGGAAAAGGGTTGACCTTAAAGTTTCTTCATTCACTCGTGTGCATCATCTATCAACTCAGCAATCTTGATATTGGGTTTGAGCTGCTTTAATTTTCATATTTCAGCAGGGAACCAGGACAAATTTTAACCGCATTAAAGAGCATGAAGAATGTATTCCTTACTCTCAAGAAACTGAAGACACAATGCCCAGTTCAGAGATGGACACTTCTGTTTCTTCTGGTTTCCACCCTAATGGTTACCAGGTGCCTACAAGAACTACAGATACGGCAAGCATGAATAGTGCTCAGGCATCAGAATATGAGGATGCTGAATCAGGTGCCTTTTTTATTCATTTTTTGTGCATCAGTTTCTATTGACAAGAATTTCTGTGTCAGTTTCATTAGAAGATGTACTATAGCTTTCTGTATGATGAATGCTTTGGATTTTTCATATTCTTACATGTGGAGATGGTGTTTATTGCAGTATATAATAACCAAGCCAGTTCCAGATTTCATTCATTTCTTGAGGTGCAAAAGCCTGCAATGGAGAAAATTGATACAGGCTCATCTGTTCATTATGATCACATGACATTTCCAAGTAAATTGGTTCTGATGTTTTGATCTTTCTAGAGTAATTGTCCCAAAAGTTTTTACCCTACACACAAGAACTTACACGACAATCCTTGTTGCTTTAAATAGGCGATTATCAAGGCATATTGTCAGCTGTTCCTGGGATGGACTTCATCTCACTTGCCCAAGTGGATAAAACTAAAGAAACTAATGGTACTGAATCAGCATGTGAGCCTCAGAAAGTCACTGACTTGCCGTCGTGGGATGATGTATTAGAAAATGGTGCTTGTGGAATTGAATCTGTGCCTTTCCAGACTCTTTTGTCACAAGATGATACGGAAGGAATCATCCCTAAACAAGATGGAATACTGGAGAAGCTTTTAACCAATAGCTTTGATAAAAGGGAGGATATTGGGAGTCATATACTTGATCAGGAAGCCTGGCAGGTATTATGTGATCCTTTCTATATGTTATAAATCCTTGCATCAGATGCTTAATTCAGATTAAAGGGTAGTTTGTGAATGCCAAACTCTTCTTTGCAATAGTTTTCAAGGATGGAAGGATGGTGGTGACTCTGTTTTTGGTTCATATGCATCATGAGTGAAATTGATGAGTGGTTATATAGGTCTCATCCCCATAATTGCTTCCCATGCAATTGATTATAATATATACATGAACATTAGATATCTATAATGCGTGTATTATCATAAAACGGTATGGCTGGGATAAGAATGCTAGGATTGATGAATTGTAAGAAAAGACAAGACTTGGGTAGGATGAGTCGTATGAGTACATCTGTGGGAAGGTTGAGGTGACACAAATGAAGATAAGTTGTGCAATGGTGGTTTCTTTTGGCCATTTCTAACTTCAACTTGTTGATACACTAGGAAGAAAAAGTAACACACTGAAGTATTAGGAGAAATCAGGGGAGACTGATCAGAAATGGTGTGGGGTGAATTGACAAAGGGTGATCCAGTTTTACAATAGTTTATAGAAATTTTATCCCATAATACAACTGAATGAAGGAGGCAGATTCATCATCCATGTAGTCAATCTCAACTAATTTGGGATTCATGCTTAGTTGAGTCGAGTTGTGAATGACTGCCTACTATAGTTAAATTCATTACATTTTCAAATTACTGCAAATGTCTCGTTATATGTTAATTATAGATGTGTTATGTTATCTTTTCTTCTTCTGATTCACTTATATGTTTTGGGCTTTAACTTGCCTTCTAAACAGTCTATGGACGGTGTTTCTTCACATCTATTAAAATGGTCCGTGGATCAAAAGTTGCTTCTGGACTCAGGATACGATCTCACTGCTAGGTTTCCTGATGAACAACTTGATAGTGGCAACCTAATCAATACTCTTGAGCCTTTGTGTACACAGGAAAATGATATCCTTATCCAAAATGATCAGGGTATGACCCTAGAGGGAAAACCAATGTACTCTTCTTTGGTAAAACATCATATATTGGATGGTTCAGGGACAGAAGGTTTGAAGAAGCTTGATAGTTTCACCCGATGGATGAGTAAAGAACTTGGAGATGTAGAGCCACAGGTGCAGTCCAGTTCTGGGTCCTATTGGATTACTGTGGAAAGTGAAAATGGGGTTGATGACTCCAGCAATCCTTCTCAAGGAAACCTGGATGCATATTTGCTTTCTCCTTCTCTCTCCCAGGACCAACTCTTTAGCATTATTGATTTCTCACCCAACTGGGCATATGCAGGAACAGAGATCAAGGTACTATATAAATATTAGTATTTCTTGTGTGCTAGATTGTGCAGTAACATCAAAGTTATTGAATGTGTCAGTTTTTCCTTATAGACTTGAGGTTTCTGAGCTGAGCTACCACTCCTTGCTGGGGTATATCATATAAGGCTTCATTTCGATATTATAATGTTCTTTTCTCATTTATTCTACATATATTCAGGTCTTAATCATGGGAAGATTCTTGAAGGGTCGAGAAGCAGCAGAAAACTTCCAATGGTCAATTATGTTTGGAGAAGTTGAAGTTCCCGCAGAGGTTATAGCTGATGGTGTTCTTCGTTGCAATACTCCCTCGCATAAGGCTGGCAGGATTCCTTTTTATGTTACATGTTCAAATAGGGTAGCTTGTAGTGAGGTGCGTGAATTTGAATACCTCAGCCACACCCAAGATATTACTTATAACTATAGAGACAGTGTTACTGAAGATCTTAATATGCGATTTGGAAAACTACTGTCCCTGAGCTCTGTCTCCCCTTCAAAATATGACTCGAGCAGTGTGGATGAGATTTTGAGCAGTAAAATCAACTCATTGCTGAATGAGGACAATGAAACATGGGACCAAATGTTTAAGCTTACTTCAGAGGAGGGGTTTTCCTCAGAAAAAGTAAAGGAACGGCTTGTTCAAAAGCTACTGAAAGAACAATTACATGTATGGCTTTTGCAGAAGGCATCTGAAGGTGGAAAAGGCCCTAGCATATTAGATGAGGGTGGCCAAGGGGTGCTACATTTTGCAGCCGCCCTTGGCTATGATTGGGCCCTGGAACCTACTATAGTTGCTGGTGTAAGTGTCAATTTTCGCGATGTTAATGGATGGACTGCACTTCATTGGGCAGCTTCTTATGGCAGGTGAGAGAAATGTGTTTTCTTTTATTTGCTTTTTTTCTTAATTTTTATGGAGCAAAGCTTGCTTCTAGTATAGTAGTATCTCCTTTCTTGTCTTCCTTTCAGTTCACAGCACTTATATTGCAAGCTGAGGATTAGCATGGAGTATGATAGTTTATTGGACATGGGAGTTTTTGATAAATTTACCAGAATAAAACCAAATAAGCTACTGAAAAATGTTAACTAGGGTGCAAGCTGCTGTCATCTAGAAACTGGGGGGCTAATCTCATAGAATAGAGGGGAATTTTATTAGTGATGTTAAGATATCATCAAATACCATGTTGCACATGATAGCATGCTAAGTTCGTAATCTGTTCTATCTTGTCAATTATATAGAAGTGGCATCAAATTGAACATTAATCCTAGCTGGGATCAAATTACATCAGCAATTTGTGGCTCTTAGAATTTCATACTAGTTTTTCAAAACACTTACTACATTTGTACACTTTTCTTGTATTTTGGCTCGAATATCAGAGAGCGAACAGTTGCATCCCTCATCCATCTAGGTGCTGCTCCTGGAGCATTAACAGATCCAACACCCACATATCCCACCAGCAGAACACCTGCTGACTTAGCTTCTGCTAATGGACACAAAGGAATTTCTGGCTTTCTCGCAGAATCTGCTTTGAGTGCCCACCTTTCTTCTCTGAATTTGGAAAAGCAGGACGGCAAGGCTGCAGAATGTTCTGGAACACAAGCATCACAGACAGTTTCAGGCTGTAATGCAACTCCAGTCAATGATGCTGACTTGCCAAGTGGACTGCCTCTGAAGGATTCATTAGCTGCTGTTTGTAATGCTACTCAAGCTGCTGCTCGAATTCACCAAGTCTTCAGAGTTCAGTCCTTCCAAAAGAAGCAGTTAAAAGAGTATGGTGATGATAAATTGGGAATGTCACATGAGCGCGCTCTTTCGCTTATTGCAGTCAAGTCACAGAAGGCAGGACAATATGATGAGCCTGTTCATGCTGCAATACGAATTCAGAACAAGTTCCGTGGTTGGAAGGGTAGAAAAGAATTTTTGATAATCCGGCAGCGAATTGTTAAAATTCAGGTGCATACATTGTTCTCTCTTGATTTTCTGCTTTTTTTTTTTTTTTCGTGTTACTCACCTATGTAACTTTCTCTGGCTAGTTTTTTCCTTTTACAAAGCATATAATTCTTGAAATCTAACCTTGAGTTTCTTTTCTGGTGAAGGCCCATGTAAGAGGCCACCAGGTCAGGAAAAACTACAGGAAGATAATTTGGTCTGTTGGCATTCTGGATAAGATTATCTTACGTTGGAGACGGAAAGGAAGTGGTTTGCGTGGCTTCAAATCTGAAGCACTTACTGATGGTTCCAGCATGCAAGTTGTCCAGTCGAAGGATGACGATGATGATTTCCTTAAAGAAGGAAGAAGGCAAACAGAAGAAAGATCACAAATAGCCCTCGCAAGGGTGAAATCCATGCATCAGCACCCAGAGGCAAGAGAACAGTATTGCAGGCTGCGCAATGTTGTTGCTGAGATCCAGGAGGCCAAGGTAACAGATTATTATTTTTGTTCTCTTTCCATGATAGTTGCTTGACAGTTGTTTGCATTGGAGACAACAGTGAGGGGTTGTCATTACACTAGAACTTTCTAAAATACTATTCATTATGTTAGTTGCTGGGGGATGTACAGTCCTCTTCAGTATGCTATGCAAGTCAGGTTTTTGTTGGTACTTTGGTAGAACATTGTTGGAACTAAACAGTTTATGATGAGCAGGCTAGGTTTTTATTTTTATCTAGAAAGCGATCAGTGGGGACTAGGTTTGAAACCAAGGGAGATGATATGAATTTTTCAAATCTCCTCCACTTTTATAGTGCAGAATAAGATTCACATGATCTGTGGACATGCAAACCAAGGGGAAAATGTTTTCCTGAATTTCAGAAGTGGTGGTTTCAATGACAACCATGAGCTCTCAAAGAGATGAAGCAAACACTGTTTTGTTAATCTGATTGGTTTTATGATCCGTAAATCTTGCAGGCTATGTGGGAATGGGCTAACAACTCTGAAGTGATGGCTGAGTTTGATGAGCTGGTCGATCTTGGAACATCAATGGATGATGACTCTTTCATGCCTTCAAATTCTTGAGCCGACCTCGGTTATCCTATTTGAATAGAAGCTGAAATTTGTTTGTAAATGTCGTCCCTGTTGAGTCCTAATTATTAACTGAAGTAGGTTAGGAATGTATCAGATGGAAGCAGTAGTGCTGTATTGTCTTGGTGTGCACTGTAATAATGTGTAGTCTTGAGTTGTAATAAGAACACTGAAGTTAAAAGAGGGAAATGGTATATGATATGAACAAACTTAAAAAGTTGGTTGGCGTTCATGGGGATCTAGTATTTGCTTGGAAGCTTTTTCCACAACAAACAAATTGAGGGCTGTAGGGTCTTTTTCAAAAGAATTTAAAGCTGGCATCTTTGATAGAAATTCTGCAGTCCAGAAGCCTAGAAGTCTCTTCTTGTCGCCGCCTTGAGGCTTCGGTGGCAAAATATGGTAGGAGGAATTGGCTTGTTTTTGTGGTATTTCCATTTTATGGTGCAAATTTTTGTACTCTCCACTTTTTTCTTTCTTCTAACAATTTTGTTATCTCTTTTAGCCATGTAGCAGATAAAAATTAATTTTTATTTTAAATTAATATTTTGTTAATATTTTTTAATTATTTTGATATGTTGATGTAAAAACTAATTTTTTAAAAATAAAAAAAATATTATTAGAATACATTTCTAGATAAAATTGTTTTTGAAAAGCAACTATAACTATATTTTTAATAGACTTATAATAAATGCAAACTTCACTATTTTCGCATTTGTTTAAGCAACATGGTAAAATTCTTTGATCTCTAAAGTTTTTCTATTTTATAACATGATAAATCAATTATTTTTGAAATTATCTCTTTTTAGGGATAGTTATACAACAAACCTCAATATTTTCTATTTTTTGTTTTTAATTTAAGGTTTAAGAAATTATAGTTTGTTTATGTAGTTAATGAGAAAAATCAAATTAAAAAAAAGAAAGATATGTTTGTCCTTATATATAATAAATGTCAATCTATATAATTTTCTTACAAACTTGTTTCTTTCTTCCAAACATGATATCTCTCTTTAGTCTTTTCTCTCTCTCTGCAAACATGTATTCATATAGAAACACTATATTTAAAATATGACCATTTGTTTTTTTATATTTAATTTCTTTGTGCAAGTACCAAAGCCAAAAACCTTTTATTGGTATTATTTTATTCACCCTTATATGTTAGGAACAATGAATAATAGTGGTGAGATAAGTTTTTTAAATGAATTGTGATTTAGTGATGTTATTTTATGTTAAATTAGTGGGTAATGGTTAAAATATTGTGAATATACACTTGATTTAACAAAATAATAACAAAAATTTAATTTACCATAAACCTTATCTTGAAGCCTTGAAAGCCTTATATTAATTGGTTTCTTGCTAGCTTGATTATAATATTAAATGTTGTAGTAATGTTTAAACTATTTTTTTTTATAATGCATGTTTTGTTAACTAAACATAAAAACCCCTAATTTTATCAGGAATTTTGATAATGACAATTTAGAAAGTGAAAGAACTAAAAAGGTAAATGTTGGCACTAATAATGTGCATTACAAAGGTGATGATAAATATGCAGATGATGAGGAGGAGGAGAAAAACGATAATTATATCCCTTATAATGAGGAAGGATTTGAATTTGTTAATGACAAAAAAGATGAATGAATTGCTAGCTTAGATGGTAATGCATGTCTTAGTAAAATTTTGTTAAGTGGTTTAAAATCAGAGGATGAATGAAAGATAAGTTGCGATGAAGATGATGATAATGTTGCATTTGGTGCAAAATCAAACAATAGCGTTGAGGTTTCTGAAGATGAAAGTAGAATAATCAGGAACAAGCTTAAAAAGCCAAAGGTTGATCCCACCTCTAGTTTTAAATGCAAGATATTTTAAATGGGAGTTGATGGATCAATTAAGTTTCAGGAATGTCAGATATTTTGTAATGTCAATAATTTTAGGAAGTGTTTAAAGAACACAAAGTTAAACATGACTATCATTTGAAAAGACACCTTAATTAAAAGGTATAACACTAATTTTATTTCTGAAGGTATTAAGGAAGTTTTAGAGATTTTGTGTTTAAAGGCTTTAAAGAAGAGGTTTGTCAATTGATATAGAACTTTCATTAGCATTAATGGATGTTATTTAAAACCTCAATATAGAGGTGTCTTATTATTAGTAGTAGGGTTGGATGACAATAATAAAAATTTTTCAATTGTGTATACCATCGCGGAGGCAAAAAACATAACACTTGGAGATGATTTTTGAATGCTTTAGATGGTTTTATAAGAAATGGAGTCCATGAGAGGCAACTTTGCATTATGTTTAATAGGTAAAAGGTATAGGAAAATAACATCTTCTCCAAGGTGCAATATATACAAGTAATATAGACACAATTCAAGGACTGGTCAAAGAAATAATACTGAATAATCTAAACCATTCCATGATATTGTAAGTTCAAGTTGTGTTACTATGAGTTTGAGTGGTAAAAAGAGTCTAAGGGGTGCTGGAAAGGATCATGCTAGTGTTATAGATGTTGGCATAGCTGTGAGAGGTGCTGACATGGGTGTTATAAGAGCTAGCATAAGTGTTATGGGTTTTGCCAGGTGTTAAAGGTGTTGGTAGGGGTGTTATAGGTGTTGGCATAGTTGTCAGGAATCCTAGTAAAGGTGTAAGGGTGTTGGTAAATGTGTGATGGATGCTAGAAGTTATAATGATGTTGGAACATCTCATCTTAACACCTAACCCAGATTAGTTACATTGATTGAAGTATGTATTATGAATGATTGTTACTTGATTGGAGTATACATTATGAGGTATAATATTTAGTGTATTTTTTGCTTAAATATGCATGATGTTTAGAGCATGAATTCACTATTGTTATTCATTTAATTTGAATATGATGAACAATATCGTAGTTAGAAATAGTAAAATTACACACTAAATTACAACTTAGTAACAACTTTGCACTTATAAAACTAGCCTTCACATTGTGATTCTTAATTCAAACTCAATGTAATTCATCTATAGTCTTCTTCACTTCATTTAGTTTTTGATCAATTTCATTAACATCTTCTCCCTGTCTAATGGTTAGCTAGATATTATTAATAAATTTGCACCAATCACTGAATGTGTCCTCGCATAACCTATCATTGCATTTATAGAAAAACTTGTTCTTATTTATATTTGTTTTTGATATTATGACAACTATTATTTTTTCATATTTCATGCCATTTCTGTTCTTGAACTTTAGTCTATTCAAGTTATTGCAAGTTTGTAAGCTATTAGTATTTGATGAATATAATGATATTATTATGGTAATTTTATGGTTATTTTTTGTGATATGTGTACATATGTGTGTTGGATTTATATGTTCAGTTGGTAATTTTAGATTGTGTGTTTGCAAAATTTGTATTGTTATTGGAATATGAAGAACCATTGTTGGAAGATGTAGATATGTTGCTGGAAATTTTTGTAACATATTTGTGTGTCTAATGTCAGTTTTAGTGGTGTTTTTTATTAGGTTAAAATGATGAACAACATTAGAGAATTGTTATTTTTGGTTGAAACTGATAAAGAACTCTTTTTTGTGAACTTTTATGCTTTTGATTGTCTTCAATTTGATCAAGAATTGTTGTTAGATCTATTATATGCATGACTTTAATGACATTTTTATAAATAGTAGGACATTGTGCAATAATTATTTAAAAATAAAGGTCCAACAATAACACAATCCTTTTTTTTTTTAGTTATTAAAGGCATTTTAGTCATTAAAATTATTATAATGGAAAAACTATAAATAATGGCTTACTTTTATTTTAAAGCAAAAAAATGGGATATAAAGTGTAATGAAATTACTAAAGTTTAAAAGGCAAATCATAATTTCTCAAAATTTAGATTGAAATGAAAAATAGATTGAAGTATAGGAATTTTTTGTAATTATCCTTTTTTTTAATCCATTATATTATATTATCAAAGAATTTTTATTTTTCAATTAAACCACTTCATTAAATACAATTAAAAAAATTAATAATTATTTGCATGTTCTTCATGCGTGTTTGTCATTGTGATAGTTTTTATAGTTATGGTTTGAAAAAATAGATTAAAAATAAGCTGTGAATTGTAGCTTTTTTCTAATTAAAGTTTCAAAAGAGTTTTTAATGGGATCTATACAAAATTAAAGTGTATGTAGATTAACACATTCAAATATATGATTGATACAAAACTCAGATTTCACCACAAAAACAAACAAAACCTTTTCATCTGATCCTTACTTAATCTCGAATAAAGTTTGTCATTGTTAAATACTCTTCAGATTAATATACCAAGTTAACACAGTTCATTAACTCTAAATCTTCATACCATTTGTCCAACTAAAATGAGTTATGTTCACTAATGACCATTCTTATAATTAAAACTTTTTTTTTCATTTCAACAAAGCTACGATATATGGATTTCCAAACATAAAAAGATAAAGCAAGAGGGGTATATAAAAACAAATCACTCATTCCCAAATACTTTTCTTTTTCCTTTCTGTATTGTTTCAATGTTTATTGTTTCAATTGATTTTTCTTTTTGTTTCCTGTTCTTCGAAAGGTATGCCTCTCGTTCACTTTGTGAATTCTTTCTTCTTCAATACAATTAAACTTTTTTTTTTAAAAAAAAAAAACTAAACTACAACCTAGTTTTCTCAATAGTGATGAATTATGCCGCCTAACTATCCTAATACCAAAACCCCTAGTACGACAACTTGTGTTGACGAAAGTAGTTGGAGCCTCGAGACTTTGAAAAGCCTATAATGACGGCAACAACTATTAGAGAAACTCTACTTTCTCACTTAGAACTGAAACCATGATCTCAACATAATCTCATCAAGTTGATTATACATTAAAGGGAAATAAAAATATACCATGGTAAATGACTAAGAATGTAAGTTTCTTGTATATGAATTGAATTATTAAAAATAACAATGTTTTCTTTTCTCCAGGTGATATTCAAGGTGATGTCTCCATAATCTTTCAAGAATAGGATGAACTCGGTCTCTCTAATGTAATAGCATAATTTACCTTGAAAGAGATCATCTAAGTTTTCTTAGTGCAATTGCATAATTTACGTTGAAGTGGATTGACATGATCTTCCTAGTGTGATTGCATATTTTTTCAAGGATGAGATTGATTGTAAACCCCTAGATAAATTAGAAATAATCAAAATTATGGTATAATGAGATAAAATAAGAAAAATAGTTAAAAAA